CAACCTGTTATTGATCTCTTTACCGATGGGGGCAGATGAGAAACTCCCTTTATGTGATTGCACCTTATACAACATTTCTATAAGAAAATTGATCATCTTCATTCGTTTAATATGGGACAGTTCCACTTATTCTCTACATCATAAAAACACATGATCATAAAATAGAATTAACAAAATATTATAACATACACAAAACAGAATTATCACAATATTCTCACATACCGCATATAACTCTTTTATCTATTCCAGTTATTTAATGCGAGTTTCCTGCTCCTCTTCTAACTTCTCTTCACATTCTATCTTTTGACTATAAATCTTCATTTAAAACTCTTCTAGCGTTTCTTTTTTCACTTGTCCGGTGCTTTTTCTAGACGTACCAAAATACACTCTCGGGATGATGTCATCTCCAACACCACAGACACGTCCACCATGTTCCTTTGTTCCAATTGCTTATACTAATATATCATGTCATGGTTCTAGAACAAAGGAACCTTCACGTGCTGAGATAACCCACAAATCATACACGGCATGATAAGAAATACATTGTTAATTACCAAAGCAATTTAAATAACACTTAACATATGCATAACAAGTCCTGCGTACAATTTTCTCAATGATAGTTCCTGAGGCCTCTGAAGTGTAGTCTCCATTTGACCTTTGTTGAGCTATTTTCCACTTCTCATGTCGTGATGGTGGAGATGGTTCCCGATTATGACTCATGGAACCTGCATCTCATAGTTGTTGTTTTTTCATCAATCATTATTTTCTCAAGTTTCCTATATCCCCCATGAGACAATCTATGGAGGTATTTTTTTTTAGGCTTGTTCACCTTTCCCGCTTCACTTTTAACTTGTTTTAAACATAGGAAAACTATTAACTTCCATGGTTATATATATAAAATTATCTGAAAATACAACCGGTACTAACCATGAACTTCTCTGAACTACGAGATTTCACAAACTTTCTCCAAACATTATTGTCAAAAAAAGAATATTTCACCCATAGGTGCTCAATATTAGGCTTAGGCTTCGTAATGTAGTCACTCGTTATTCGTGACTTAAAACTCCTCCAAGTTGTACCAGCATAAGTGATCCACTTTTTTTTCAACTTCGAATCTTCACTAAACTCAAACGTCAACTAAATGTTTACATTAATAAGTATGTATTAGTGTTTATATAAAGTAATGTCGAATATATGAAACTTAAAATTAATACTTGAACGTCAGTCCATATGCTCTCTTTCACCGTTACTATTACATGTTGCCAATCATCTAACAATATGTTGACTTTGCTACGTCCAAGGAATGAAACATAAATCTTAAAATGTGAAGAATAAGGACCATCAAGAATCATATAAACAACACTAAACTCAACCAGAAGTCTGACACCCGACTTACGGACTTTAGTTAGTTTAGACATCATTGTGGCACCTCTTTGTTTTCTCTGTTGTCCGCCTACATATTTGGAATAGTTTGAGTTGGTTTCATTTGAATATGTAGCTTCGTAACTAATAGATGAAGAAGAAACATATACCATCTATCAAGACATAAAACAATCAACATCAAAACACAAAACATAATTCACAATAGCATCATCAACATAATGGCATCATCAACAACAATGTCATCATTAACACAATGGCATCAACACCAAAAATATATATAAGCGTGTGAAGAATCATCAACAACAACAATGGCATCATAAACATAATGGTATCAACAACAACAAATACATAAACAACAATGGCATCAACATAAACAAAAACTCAATAGAAAATGATGGTATTGTAGATGCATGGGGAAAAAGTTTACGTACTAGAAACGTGATGAATAAGTAAAAAAATGGTGTTGATTCATTCTTTGAGTTCCTCCTCGACATTTAAACCAAAGGATAAAAGAATAAAGAATAGAAGTCGACTCCTTCCTCAATGATACGAAAGTACAGAAAAATAGTGTGGTTTCGCAATGGAAATGAAAATATGGAAGATGGTGTTGTTTCGTTACGGTTACAATGGTGTTGTTTCATTAGGGTTACAATGGTGTTGTTTGGTTTAGGGTTGTAATGTCGTATATTTAGTCAGGGGTTGAAATGACATTGTTTCGTGATGGAAATGAAAATATGGAACTGAAGAGACAAGTTAGCTAGCTCTGTTTTGTTAAAGTAAATAAATCATATCACCACAGTTTTTAATAAAACCCGTTGTGATATTTGATAAAATTTTATAAAAAAGCATCAGGTATTAAGCATTTAAAAATTTTAAAAATAAATGAAAAATATATCAAACAGTTTTCTTTAAACATCGTGGTGATATAATATTTCTTTAATGATATTTTAGAAAAAAGATTCAGGTTTTTACGTAATTAAAAATTAAAAAAATGGAAAAATATATCACAGCAGTCAGCTTTAAGAACCTTGGTGATATTCTTTGTAAGCACAATATTTGGTTCTGCATTTGGCCTTTAGTTTTGATGATGACAATACATTGTTTTTTAGAGAACATTTTTTACCCTAACAGTTTTGTCTAGTGTGTAGCTTTTGCCAACAGGTTATGACTTTGATAGAAGCGTGTGTGATGTCATCAGTTTATGAATCAACACACTCTGACTCAGAAGAGACTCAAATACGTGTTACTAAGAATTAGTTAAGTTCTACAATATCTCTAGACAACGGTTCTGATGTACGTTAGTCTAAAGCTTCTGTGTTGTGACTCTGATTAAAGAGATTCTGAAGACTTCCCAAGCTATGAAGAATATGCGGTTCTAAGTTTCAAGATTCTGAAGACCAAAGTTTGGAAGACTCTGAAGATAAGGTTCTGGAAAGAACAAGTTCTAAAGACTCTAAAGATAGGTGTTCTGAATATTATCTTTGATGTTTTTGGTCCTTATAAGCATGCTTCATCAACACAAATTCCAAAGCCTCTGAAGATTATAAGATAATATCAAAAGGTTTTTACGTGAGTGAATAGTATATGATACAAGATAAAATGTTTCCACTATTCTAATATCAAAAGCTATGAAGAATATGCGCTTCTAAGTTTCGAGATTCTGAAGACCAAAGTTTGGAAGACTCTGAAGATAAGGTTCTGGAAAGAACAAGTTCTAAAAAATCTAAAGGCATGTGTTCTGAATATTCTCTTTAATGGTTTTGGTCCTTCTAAGCATGCTTCATCAACACAAATTCCAAAGCCTCTGAAGATTATAAGATAATATCAAAAGGTTTTTATGTGAGTGAATAGTACATGATACAAGTTCAAATGTTTCCACTACTCTGATTTTATGGTGCAATGAATGTACTATGGTACGATGTTTTCTAACACTCTCACAGATAATTACACAAGAAGGAAACTAGAATTTAGTATTCCTATTCTACCCTCCAACGAATTTCTTTTTTACTATAAAAGGAAGACTTTGAAGAATTTGAAAAATAACTTTTCACGCCAAAAATTTTGCTGAAGTGTTGCTCAACTTTCTACTGATATATCTTGTGTAAAGTTTTGTAAAGCAAGAAATTTTTGTTCATTAACTTGCAAGCAAGGAAATTTTGTTCATTCAACTTGCTATTAACATTGTTGTGTTATTTCTTTGTATTTCAACTTGTGTAATATGCTTTCTAAGAAGTATCTTTGTAAAAACACTTTGTATTTCAACCTTGGAGTTGATAGTTCCTTGAGAGACTAGGGTATAACCAGAATTTCTCAAGAAGACATTGATGGTTAGTCTTTGTGGTTTGTAAACATTTACGGGTAGTTTTTGTTTGTGTTTGTAATCAGTTTCGGTTATAGTGGATTAAGTTCTTGTTGAGAAAGATAAATCACCTTGGTGGGTGGACTGGATTAACTTCTTTAACAATGAACCATGATGAAACGAGGGATGAAGGCATTTAACTCAATTTTTAACGAGTCAAACCGAACTAAAACGAGTTTGACTCGACTCGACTCGTTTTCAACCATAATTTTATCTAAATAAAAAATGTTCTCAAATAGAAAATAGTTTAAAGCACGACGAGGTTTATACTTATATAAAAAATTCAATATCACTACACACTTTTTATATGCAATAATATTGCAAACTAATATAAAAACCCAAATAAACATAACACATAAACTCATTTAGTCAACATTATTGAACCAGAACCATACTATAATAGCTTTGTTGTGCCTAAAATATAAAAATACATATATATTCTGGTCTACCATGAGATCTCCATAATTTCAACGACTTAGACCCAAATGACTTATGAGTCCTCATTGTCAGTTCCAGTAATCTTATACCTAAACCCTAGTATATAAATGGACAAGTATATATAGAGAGAGACACACAAAGAAAAAAAACACAAAAAGACAATGGAGAAAGACACGATATATTAATCTGAATCTAGCAGAGTAACTCGTTCAACTTCATTTCCTTAAACCAGTTAAAGAAAATTATAAAAAAAATTAATAGCATTAAAATGTAACAACAATATTCCTTACTTGCTCACAAAAAATGTGTGTAAAATATATTAATTTAATTTAGATATACTCTTTTTTTAAAATTTTCACACTATTTAAAATAATAATTAATTATGTTGATTTCAATTATAAAATAAATATAATTTACTAAAATAATTTTATTAATAATAGATAGTAAAGTAGTTATATAATTTAAAATAAAATAAATAAAAATATATTAATAAAAAAATAATAAATAACATATTAATATTTTAAAAAGATAAATAATTTGAGATAAATAAAAATAAAAAAATAAACACATATTATAAAATGGAAGGACAATTTCAATTAAAGCCGGTCAAATATTTTAATGATTCAATGACTAATATTAATATTTATTACTTATATTAAAATAAATTCAATTAAAAACATAAAACAAAATAATTAAGAAAACAAATTATAAGTAAAATTAATTTTTTTATATATTTGATAATTAATATATTAGTTTATATATAAATTATATACATTAATTATCAAATATATCAATAAAAAATAATTTTGTTTATAATTCATTACGAGTTTGGAAGAAGAAAAAAAGCACATACAATGTAATAAGAAGCACCATGTTGGAGTGAGTCGAGGGTGACACCCCATTCGTCGGTGGGAACTTGTTGGCCGGAGGAGTCAAATAGAACTGCACCATCTCCAAAATTTGCACGAACATTGAAAGGTCCTACTTCAACTTTGATTACAGTGCTGTTAATTATCACCCTATATTTTGGCTTATCAACTTCCTCATCAACACCTGGCCAAAACACACGCCCCAATTTAGATTTCTCACGTGTGAAATGCAATGGTGTTTGAAACACCGAAAAAACACTAACCCCCGGTAATAATTTTTAAAAAGTGAATAAATTAAATGTAATTATAAATGTTTAGTATTTGATAGGGATACCAACACCGACATTTATATTACAACAAAACTGATAATAATTAAAAAATAAATAAATTAAATATTATTATAAATGTTTAATTAATATACTATTTAGATATTATTATAAATAATATTTATTTTTTTAATATATTTAATTATCAATATATTTTATTTATATATAAATCAAATACATTAATAATTAAATATATTTAAAAAAAAAATTGTTTATAATAGTGTCCAGAAAATATGTTTTGATACGAAGATGAACACATCTTTTTTATGTGGGTGTTATATAGGCAATTGAAAAGCACAAACTTCAACTGAATAATGAAGCCATGCAAGCACAAGTTCATGGAAAATAATTATACTCAATTTGTAGTACTTTTGTTTTTGTGTTCATATTTGCAAAAACTCATGTTTTTTCTTATGGTCTTAAACCCTCTTGCACCATAAAAGAAAATTTGTCCATAGGTCTTGTGTTAATGTGTTTGTGCTTCATAGCTTAAAATTTTCATTTCTCTTGAAAGTTGAATTTATTAAACACTAAATATTGATATTGGTTACCTTGAAATTGAGGAATGGAGAATGGAGCAGCAACAGGAGGGAGAGGAACAAGAGATGAATCATGAGTCCTTGAAGTGAGACGAAAACCAAGTTGTTGTTGGTTTTGTTGGTTGATCTGCATCATATTCATTGCTTGTTCTTGAATAATATTCTCTTGATCATGCTGGTGGTCATTCATTGAGGAGGTTCCACCTCCATTTCCAATTCCAATTCCATAGTTCATCATGATGTCATGATTAAACAAAGGAAGAGCAACATTTTGTTGAGGTAAAGGCTGAACCATATTGGAATTGGAATACTGATCAGATAAGTAAAGCTCTTGGGCTAGTCCTTCATTGATATTGTTATTATTCTCCATAGGGAAAGCGAAATATGGTTGAGGTTGAGGTGTTGGTAGTTGAAAATTGGTCTCAGCAGGTGGTTGAAGAAAATTATAAGCAGTTTGGTTATGGTTCACATTTGGAGAATTAGGCAACACTCCCATCCCATCGTAAACATTGGAGAAGCCAATGTTGTTAACCATTATCGCTTCGTTGGTCGGTGCCTTTGCGTTTGGATGATCAGAGGAAGATGGTGAGGATGAGTTAGGTGGTGCAGTGATGATTTGAGCAGCAGCAGCAGAATTCTTTTTGTTTCAAGGATTGCTATGGAGGTGTCTATGCTTGTTTTTGCTTCGCAATTTGCGGTTTTGGAACCAGTAGAACACATTTGCATCTCCAACTTGGCCAAACTCTTTTAACTGTGCTCGTATCTTCTTGATCTCTTCCCTTGGAGGGTTCACCATTCCGGAGTTGAAGATGGATTCCAAAATGCGAATTTGTTCCGGTTTTGGATTCCATCTTGGCTTCGGTTCAGGACTTCTGTCATCAACATCTCCACCTACATATATTAAATAACATAGCAAATGTAGATTTTGAAACCCTCTTAAAAGGTTGAACTCAAACACTCTTAAAAGCTAAGGGAAAAAAACCCTAAATAACAGATAAAAACTTTATCAAAAGACAAAACAAACAACAATTAAGACTAGCCATCTAAATAATCCACAATAAAAATTTAGTTTAACAAATTGAATCATATTTTTGATTAATTTTTTAAAATTATATTAATACTTTTTTAATATAATATATATTACATTACTATGTTATTATTGTAATTCTATAATACTATTTTTAATATTTATATTATATTTCACATCAAATATATTTTATTTTGTTTTTATAATACTAATAAAAAAGCTATAACTTTGTAATTTAGATATCAAAAACCAATCTAAATTAAACAAATAAGATCATATATCTTTTTAATTAATAATTTAATATTAAACTAAATTGCATACAATTTTATGTTTAGATCAAAGAGTACCACAAACACCTCTATGTTAATCTGATACCATAACCAATAGAAATTAAATGAATTTGATTTGATCCGGTTAGATTCACATGAAGAATTTGGTTTGATATCATAAATTCATAACCAGTTAAACACAAATTTAGTTTAATTGATTTTCCTAAATTTAGTAAATGAATCGCAAGTTCATCAAGTCACTGATTTCCTCTTACGTTTCAGTTTGTTTTAAGAATAATAAACAATGATCATAAAAGATGCATACACACTAATAAACCACACATAATCATTTTTTGTTGAGTGCCATCTAGGAGAGGTTTGATAACGTCCAATTAGGTTTGTGTAACTGAGTATATTGGGTTGAGAATAATGAGAGGTTTCATCTAGAAAAACATAGGGCTTGTCCTCAAAGATCTTTAGTAGATTTGGGAGTTTTATTCAAGACTTCAGAATAGAGGATTCGATCGAGTGAAAGCTTTTAAGATTGGAGATATTAAAAAGGAGTAGCGCGAGATAGTGAATCATATTGGAATTTCTTGTGTTCAATAGTCGCAATCGGATTCGCTCGAGTGAAGGCTTTGGATATTTGGGATCTCGTAAAGGAGTAGCTTAAATTTGTGAATACATTGGATCTATTGTGTCTTGGTCTTGCTCAAGTCCAAAAGAAGAGAATATGTTGAATCAACATCAAATGGTTAGGGTTTGTAGGGTTTCTCTTGAACACTTCTCTTGTAATCAACTTTTTACAAAGTAACAAATTTATCTTAATTCTAAAACATAATTGGGGTGGGGGGAGACTTAATCATGGCGAGGAAGATTGGTGAACTTCTTAAACAAATCCTTGTGTCATTATCACTCTCTCTCTCTCTCCATCTATCTCTCTCTTATATATTTCTCTCTCTTCTCTCTCTCTCTCCATCTATCTCTCTCTCTCTCTTATATATTTCTCTCTCTTCTCTCTCTCTCTCCCTCTCCTTCTCCTTCTCCCTCTCTCTCTCTCTCATTTACTTTCTATATGCGATTTATTGAACTTGGTGTTTGATTGATCAATTTGTATAGAGTTTTCTTTGATTGTTGAAGCATAAATTTCTTTGCTTATATCCTTATAATTACTTTGATTATAAGTGGTGTTTACAAATCAACAAAGATCAAAAGAAAATTTTAAAAAATTGATTGTGCGCCGCGCGTTTGATAAATTGTCTAGTTTTGTTTTTAATACAAATTACATTGGAAATAAGTTTCTGAAGTGATTTGTTGGTAACGATTAACTTTGAAATTGTTGTGTTAATTGTTTGTATCTGTTGTACCCCAAAATTTTCCCTCCCATTTCATCAACATTTTCTCACCACAAGACTCTTGGAACTCAAGAACAAGTTAGGGTTTACTCTGCTCAAGACCCCTCCTTGCACTGTTGACCCAAATTAGGGTTTGAGTTTGCACAAAGATGTTTTGACCTAAAATGCCCAAACTGACTTTCATGCTTCATATTGGACTCACAAGTTTATCCATACCAAGTTTCAACCCTTGATTCCAATTTTTGCCCAGTCAATTGGACAGTTGACCTAAAAATCAATTGTATTGGGGAAAAGTCAACTGTGGCCAATTGACAGTCAAACTTCATGACTTTTGACACACATCAATATTTTGAACTCATATGGACCATTTGATCAAGTTTGGATCACAATTCCACAATAAATTTGATCAGATCACCAAAAGGGCAAAATGGTCATTTTTAGAGTTTTGACTGCACAAAGGCAATTTTTAATTGTTTGACTTAACCAATGGCAAACCAAGCTCACATATGGACTCAAGGACCCAATGCCATTGTCTTTACACATTCAACAAGTTCAAAAGATCCCAAATGCACAGAATTGACCGATGAATTTTCCAGTCAACTAATCAAAATTTGACTGTATACTGAAAAGTCAAACTTTGACTTTTTGGTCAAAATCAAGTGTCAAGATTCATTTTTCATCAAGACATGTCAAATTATGAAGCTTGTTCATCAAGAAACCCAAAATTACAAATTAGGGTTTAAAATGAAGAAATTTCATAACTTAGAAATTTTCTAAGTTATGAAATTTCCTTATTTTTTCCTAACTTTGTCCCATTTTTTCACCAAGATACAAATGGATTCAAACCAAACTCAAAACATGAAAGTTGTATTCCATTGCAAAATATACAACTTTGATTCACAAAGTTTTCTCAAAAGGAACTTGTAGCTCAAGTTATGATTTTTGGAATAAGGGTGCAAAACATTCTTAACTTTGAAATATTTTGACCTATTCTAGGCAGGATTTTTGCCCAACTTCATGGCCACTTTTCACATGCTTCCACTTGGAATTTCAATTTTCATTACAAAAATGGATTGTAGTTCACATTCCAAGCTTTCCAAATTATCCAATAACTTCTCAAACACCCTTGTGGTTAGGGAGAATCGAATTTGCAAAGATAGGCAAAAATCACTTTTGTTTATGGCCAAATACATGTTCATAACATTGGCATTTTCAAGTCAGCTTGCACAAGCTAGATTACAGGCCTCTAATCCTCTTCACACTAAATAATTAAATGCCAAACCATTGTGTTCAAGCTTTATTTTGTTCATTTGGTCATTACATGCAAGATTAATCCATAATTAGAAAAAGCAAGTTTGCCATTTTGGAAAAGTAATGCTTTATGTCAGAGTCCATATCTTTGAAGTACAAGAAGATCTTTGAGGCACAAGTTGATACACAAATCTCTCTGATCTAGAACAAAAGAGGCAGTATACATAGAGGTTGGTACAGGCTTGTATGGGGACACACATTATCCTTGCTTATCTTTGAAGAAACTTTGTAAAAACTCTCCAACTTGCATTTCCTGTAAACATATCCTAGAACAAACTTTATACACATCTTGCACAGTCCCTAACTGACCTAAAGCACGACCAAACTACCTTTGATCCCTCCTCATATCCAAAATCACAGTTTTGTGGTAAAACAGGGCATATGCTGCAACTTGAATCCCACAGTCCATCCCTGTCGTGCGTTTTGGCTAAAACCTCTTCAAACACATTCCCTACCATCCATTGAAGTTATTCCAAGCATTGAACTTGAACTGTAACATCCATAACCAAGTTTGCCATTTTTACTTTTCAGCTGTGCAGGTTGACTTCCATAGCTCGATTCAGTTAGTTTCAAAGCAAGCTAGAGGTTGGAGGAGCATCCTTGGACTTCAGGAAAGCTGTACAAATCCTCAAACTCCATTGAAGGTACCTTCATTGCTAAACACGACTCAAGCTGAACAGGTAAAAATATGAACTTCTATCTCTCTATCCAGGCATAGTTAGGCTTAAGTTTGTGAAGAAAGCATGTTCTACTCATAGCCCTGAAGCCATCCATGTAGTTACTTTCCATTTATATTGTGTGTGCTGTGAGAATTTTGGACCTGAACATGGAAGAAAAGTTAGGTCAGAAATTGGGGGAGGAGAAATTCTCCCTCGTTTTTGAGAGTTAGGACAACTTTTTTATATGTTTGAAATCGTGACTTGATGCTCTACATTATTGATGTTGTAAGTTTTTGTTAAAAGTCAAAGAATCAGGAGTTTGTATGATGAACAAGAAGGCGCGCGTTTTTTGAAACCAGAAGCTAGAGGTTGAAGACAAGCTGACTTGGGTTGGGCCTGAGTTTGTTCTTACTGTTTGCACCCTCTTTTTCCACTTACACCCCCCTGGTCCATTGTGTGATATTTTGATTATTTTTGACTTTTTTATTTTTTCTTCTGACTTGATATTTTTTGTCAAAACATACAAAATATTAAAAATATTTTGTTCATCCATTTTTGCATTTATTTAGCATTTGTTTGTTTTATTTAAGCATATATATATAAACAAATATATTTCTTTTTATTTAAAACACAAAACAATAATACAAAAATATTTTTTTTTTAGTTATTATTTTTTGTTTACCTTTTGAAAACATTTTCTAAAAATATACTTTTTTTTATAAATAATTAATATTTTATTTTTGTACATATTTAGCTTATTAAATATACATAAATATATTTGTACATATTTTATTAGAATATTTAGGATAAAAATATGAAAATAATACATTTTTTATTTTTATTAATACATGACACTAAAAAATACTTTTTTTACAATATACTTCCTTTTTTTTATTTTTTGTATAAATTAATAT